TTTACACATGCTGATACGCAGCTATTGCAGAATTAGTTTGCACTCAGTATTGAAGATCTTTCTTTCAAAAGAAACATTGACGTGCTTCACTACTACAAGGTGCAAATTGAGACATCAAATGAGGCATATGCAACACGAAACACACAGCCATTATTTCTACTTATTCTATAGGTCAAAAAAGGCACAGGTATTGCATTCCTCTCCTCGGTTTTCTCTTCCCATGTGTATTACCAAATACTTTTCTTTCGGCTCTGAAAGCATATAATCTTCTGCGCAATGGCCTGTGCATGTTCAGACTCTAAATCCTTATGAAGTTGGGCTAATTTTCCTGCTTCTATGTAGTGAGTGTTAACAAAGTATTCTATCTAAATAGTGCTGTGAAATGCAAATTACCACTTCCGTAGTAGTTTGCTTATTACAAACTCATTAAAATGCGTAACCCAAAAACTCTCTACTTTCATGATGGAGCTCTGTGCTATATCACTCCATACTATAAAGCAGCTGCATGTTGGCTCTTTGATATTGGAAACCCTATTGTCATTAACCTCATTATGACAATACTTCTTTATGATATTTGAAATGCATGCCTTTCAAGAAGGATGCTATAAGGATGATAATATTTTTCTGTTTTGCATACTACAAACTGAGGGGAAAACGGGCAGCAGGAGATGAGGAGATTTGGATTATTTATTAGCATCCCCAGGAACAACTGCGGTTCTGTAAATTTAGGCACCAGTAAATGCTTGTGCCTTTGACAGTGTTACCCTCTTGGCAGATGGAAAAAGTGGCTCACATATAGTTTTCACCCTTAAACTCTTCTGTTGCTGTGGATAAGTATCCTGGTACTTGTACGAGACCCGAGGTGTTTGCAGTGATTAAGTTGGGAAGTTTCTGAGGGTGCTAGCCCCAAATGGATTTGTTGAATTTGTTCATGCTTGACATATTCTCCATCCTGAAGAAACATCCCCTGAACTTGTTGAATTGCTCTAACCATGAAAGTTCTTCTGTTTTTACCATTTTTGTACTTTTTTCTGGCTTTTTTATATTCACTTTGAGACTGGAGGGAACTGGAGTTGCCGGTGGCGCTCAATGCGCAGGTGCACCCTGGATCTACACAATTGCAGTGTTTTCTGTCTTCATTTAGATTTCCTTCCTTGTAATCCTCAGTGCTCCTTTTGCTACTGAACTGAATTCTTAATAGAATTACAATGATTTCTTAGTAAATGGTAATAGGTCAGAAACCATGGTTATAATACAAAGTTAGGACTGCCTTCCCCCTCTTTGTGCATAACTTACCATTTACTACCATTTTTATCAGCCAGTCACTGATGTTAAATAATAATTGTGAAATAACCACTGCTTTTAGTTTTGCAGCTTGGTAGGTTAAACCTACCACCTCCCTCTGTCTGTGGCTCTTCTGACCAGTTACTCTCATAGGAATTGCCCTTCCCATCGGCTGAGCTTAGCTCCTGTTCAGCTGCTGGTGTGGGACCTTCCCAAGTGTGTTTCTGATGTGAGAGGACTCTATCAGTTGGATCATCCCTGTCTGCACGTGCAGTCATTCCTTCAGAAAACTGTAGGTACTTGCATTACGGCTTCATTTCTGGGCTTGGATTTTTGTTTCTTGTGTCCCAGGTTAGTGTTAAGGGACACATACGTGTCGTGGTGATAGAGAAATCAGAAGAATTGCAATATTGATAGATCAACAGAACCAGCTCCTGTTCTCAAAACACACTTTTGAGTATTTGAGTATTTGCTCGATCTGTGTTTCAATACATTTTTCAGTCTGGCCTTTATGTTTGGCAGAATGGAGATGAGTACAGCCCTCTGGTGTTCCCGTTGGTCCAGTCTTCCTCGCTATTGCTTCTTCTCTTGGATGTCATGTTAGCTGCTGTGGCACTTGCTTTTTCATGCTGCTACAATGATGTGGCACAGGTAGAAAAGTTGTGTTGTTTCTTGGAGAGCGTCTCTAGGTTTCTTCTCAGCCCTTCCCAGCACTGGGTTGTTTGGAGGTGCGATGGAGGGGAGATGGAAGGTGGTGGCATGAAGGTTGGGGTAGTGGTGGTAGTAGTGGTGTGGGTACCATTGCATCCTCTCTGTTCTGCCTTCCTCAATTGGCATTTATCAGAAGTTAAATATGACAAGTGACAAAATGACTGGAGCAGGATTCAGAGTCAGGACCTTCCCTGGGATTGCACTGGGTGCGTGGCTGCAGTGTTGAGCTTTCATGCTCTGGGTGATACCAAGGGCAGCAAACCCCAACCAAACTGTCAACATGTACTTTCAGCCCGCATGTGTCGCGGAGAGAGCGCGCACTGAAACTTTGGTAATGTTTTGTTTACACTGCATAAGTAATGCTTAATCTGCATGTCTGATTGGGAATACCTTTTTTTCATCTGAGTGCACTCCATTTTGGCTGGCGTATCTCTGGGGTGAATAACAAAGAGGATGCCAGTTGTCTGGAGGAGAATCGGTTTTCCGAATCACAAAAGAGCACACTTTATCAGAAAATCTAATAATGTGCAACCCTTTTGTAAACTAAACCCTGTGTGACCAGCTGGAACTTTGAAAATTTTACAAGAAGCTGTGGGGACAATTAATGATAATAGAGTCAACTTCTATGCAATTTTGTGAAATAGCATGCAATTACATGATTTTTACAAGGGAAAACAGGGTTGGGGGATGGTTTAGGAAAGGAGTTTGTTCTGTGTACATAGCGTCCAATGAGCCACTGCCCAGGATAGGGAAAAGCAATGTATTTAGTTCCTGTTAGTAACCTCAGCTCAGGTTAAAGAGAATAAAACTTATCCTTCCCATGTCATCGGCCAGGTTGTGTCTTCCAGAAAAGTTTGGAGCAAACGCGTGGGACTTTCACGCGGGAGCTGCTCTGCACAGCAACAATAGATCAGTGATTTTTTTTTTTAAATGTTACAAACATTGGCATTAATTCTATTCAAAACACTCTCCTAATGACAGACTTGCCAAATAAGCAGCTTCCTTATTTTGCTAGATTAGACATCGCATATTTAACCATACATTACAGAAGTGCCTCAGGAGCCCCACACAGTGATGCTTCTCAGAAGACAGATAGGTAACTCATTCATGTCTTAGTGGGGCTGTTGTATGGAGAGCTCTTTCCTGCATGTTTAAATCCGGTGCTGGTGCGCAGGAGGGACCTGAGGGTGGGACCGATGAGGGGCTCAGCCTTTGGGCTGTCCTGTCCCCATCCCTACTGGTGTCCTTGAGAAATGCAAGTTTTAGTTAATTCTGCAATATCTGCTGGTGTCTGACACATCCGGCTCTTATGTGGCTGTGGATTATTGATAGGTGTTTCATAAATGAACCATTGTCCTCACAAGATATCCAAAAGCATCCCTCTACTAATTAATCTCATACAGAATCACACATTTGCATAAGCAATGGTGCTTGTCTCTTAGTCCTGGCTTCTGCAAACGGGGCTCGTGCTCCTGCTCGTGGGGAAGGGAGGGACGGCTTCTGCCTGGGGTAGCACAGAATGCATTTTTTCATTTCCTACATGAAGGTTAAATTCTAGCATTTCAAGTCTGTGTCTTTCTTCTCTCTTTCCTTTTTAGCAAAATCTGCTTAAATTTTGAAATAGGTTCTTGAACAACTCCAAAGTCCGTCCCTGATGAATTCCTCCACCATTAAGGCTGCTCTTTACTGATGTTTCCCGTTCATTTTGGTGGAATGAAATGGCAGTCTGTCTCTTACATGATGGGTAAAAGCAGCAGTAAACTGAAACTGAAACAGAAGTACAATTCACAAGGGAAGCACTACTACGGGTTTAATGTATTCCCATCAGAAATCACAAAAGTCTTTCAGGATCTTATGTGTTTAACGATAAACTTCTACAGTGCTTGGATGACTGAAGGCACCTGTATATTTTACATTTTGTTGTTGTATGTAGACGTTTTATAAGCAGGTGCTGAAACTGCAAGAACCTCTTTGCTTTTACAAGCTCAGAGCTGGAAATGTTGGTGTTGCTGAGGAGTGACTCTGGCATGTTCTTAAATATTTTCAGAGATTTTGGTATTGATTTTTCGTGGCAGGTTGTAATACTGCGCAGCAAGTGTCTGCACTTTTTGAGGATGCAAGTAACGCTAAAACAATCTGTGCCACGGTACAAGTGGTTATTTCCTTGTGCACACTTCATTACACAAAACAATTATTTATTTCAATCTGTGTATCGCTCAGAATCTTCTTTCCAATGAATAAACTGTTAGCATGTAAGCCATGATTTCAGCTAGCTCTGTGTGTAGTGTTTGTAAGTGTATCAGCAGTACGTACTCCCTGAGAATGCTTTCTGCCTTTTCTTTGAAATGCAATTAGAAATGGTTATGTTTATGTATCCGCTGGGAGTCCAAGTTTTCAAATTGCTGAGGAGTTTTCCCTTATTTGACTTTTTTTCTCTTCTTCAGCCCTAGAGAATCTTTATAAAATAGCCAAGTGCTTAACTTTGAACTAGAAGGCAGGAAAACAGCAGACTGCGTGAAAGCGATGAGTTGGTAATTTAGGCTCAGTATTAAAAGAGGATTAAGAAATGTCAAAATAAGAGGAAATAGGGGAAGTACGATGGGCATGGACACTTGATCAGATGAGCCAGGGAGGAGGGAGAGTTGGCTGCTCCAGCAGACAGGAGTTGGGGTGCAGGGTTTCAAGTTTAGTATCCTCATCTTGGTACCTTTGCTACAGTTTATCTCTTGTCTTGCACTAAAAATTTGTCACAGAGTCTGCAATGGAAATACTTCTGTAATTGCCCGTATTATATGGATCATTGACCTTCAACAGTGGAACTGCTGAAGCAACTGTCCATTTATCTGGAAAATTACCACATGGCAAGATCGCATTAGGCCGTTTTACTCTGCCTCCTCTAGCAAGTGCCCGGCTGTTATTAGCTGCTGGACCACAAATCTTTGGTTACTAGCTGCACCTTTAGTGATTAAATACGGAAGGAAAAGGAGATAAGACTGCCCACTTACCATTGTGATATCTTGGTCTGGCTCATATAATCGGAGAGAGCCAGCAAATACTGGTTTTGACCATTGAAGTTAAATATCAGCTTGAAAATATACATGTCAAAGTTGTAGATCAATGAAACATCGTAAGACATGATGAGCAGCATGCAGGAGCCAGCACTCCTTCTGAAATGTGTTGCTTAAAACACAGTATTCACTGGGGCATCGGCACATGCTTTTCTATGCCTATGCTTCAGACTGCATCACTGTGAATTTGGTGTGCCACAATACTCAATCAGTTATGTTTTGGATGAAGTTGCTGATGGTTTTGAGGTGATCGAGATTCAGCGTTTTCCCTAAATTCCCTCTAGTTCAGTCACACGAGGTTTGATCACATCCTGGGCTCCGCGGGTGAAATTCTTGTGCTGGAAATGAACAAAATTCTGCACATTTGTGGCATTAAAATTCATGCTTCATCATGGTTTTGCTCGAAAGCCCGTGCATGCACAGCTCTGCTTCCCATGGGGTGGTGGCTGCTCTTGGACTGTCACACGTCTCCTCCAGCACCTCCTTGGCAGGAAGGACCACGAGATCAATTTTTTGGGGACAGACCTGCAGAGCTTGCATTAGGGAATGCTGATAAGACATCAAGGTACATATACTCACAACACAGATACTAAAATAAATCCTCTGAATGGGGTGTTTTCTTGCAGGTTATCTCCAAGGCAGGACAAGTAGAAGACTGTGTGTGTGATGGGAGCAGGTCCAACCCTGGGACTCGGCTGTGTCTCATGGGGCACATGCAGGAAGGTCCCTATGACCCAGTGGGATGTTCATGCACTGCTGTGTGCCGAGGACGGAGGACTAACAGCTCCACGTGCATGTACTCCAGTGATAGAATGAGCATATTTACAACCCAAATGTTTTTCTGAACCATAAATGGCTCTGAAATGGGATCAACAACCTGCCCAGGGGCTGAAGGTGAGCTGGGGGCTTGTCCTGGCAGTGGTCAGGTGCTCTTGCGATAACTTCCATGTTAGATGGAAGGAATCCATTCTCCAGCTTTTCTAGTTTCTTCTCAGGCATGAAGCGTACCCAAGAAAGCAAGCAAATAACACAAATTTCAGTGCAAAATCTAGATTCTTTCTGCTGCTGCCTGAAAAGGGAAGCCTGGAGTAAAAGTTAAAAAATTCTGGATGGGTGATTTGCATTACGTACTTTTTTATTTTTATAGTAAATGTCACCATCGTAGCTGTTATCTGCTATTTTGAAGTTCTCATGAGATCTCTCATAGGAATCAAAGATGGCCACAGTGTTAGTACTAAATGGATTTTGGACTATTTTAATGAGTTTTGGGGGGAAAGTAAAACCCACTTATTGTTTGTTCAGAGAAATGTATTTATGGAAATTTATTTAAAGAACTTCAGGTAAAGAGGGGGAAAGAAACCAAACTTTTCAGTGACAGTTTCATAAAGCCACTGCAAAATTACTAAAATACAGTACACTCTGTAGTAAATAATTCTGTTTCCTTCCCAAGTGTAGCTGCAGCTCTCAGTAAGTTAATGTTTACCAGGCAAAACAAAGGATAAAATTAGATGCTCGTTAACTCCAGTTACACTTGCCTTATCTTGTAAATCTATGTGAGGGTTTAAAAAAAGACAAATGAATAACCGGCTTACAGGTGACTGATGCCACATGCTGTAGATGCTGCGGTTCCTGGGACAGCGCATCCTTCTGCCTTCTCTGCTTCTGTCGCTAATACTGAATGCCTAAAGGAAAAAAGTTTCCTAATATCAGCTACCTTAAAAATGCAGTTTTATTGAACCTACCGCAAGCACTGACAATGACTTGAGCTTCAGACCACTGTATATTAATAATCCATTTAAAAAGAAGCATTACCCATTTGTCTTGAGACTCTTGCACAGTCCTGAAGCAGTTATTGTTGGGACTGTCCAGCTAGATTATTCCTTTGCCCTATCCCATAATTTGCAGCACTTTCCCCGAAGCACAGCTCCCTATAATAAACACTTCTGATCTCCTGGGCTATTTTGCTCCCATAAATATTTCTGTCTTTACCAATGCCACTTGCTGGTGGAGAAGGTACTGGAGGAACATGGAGGTGGTGGTCCAGATACTTTCCTTGCTTCATTTCTTCCTTCTGGAAACTTTGACTACTTTAAGTTTTTTCCTGCCCAGCTGGAATTTTACCTAGAAACTGAAAATTTTAGGTTAAAACACTTTGGTAAAAGATAACAGCATTCCTCCTGGGCAGGTTAAGACATCTCCTGTGACTTGGACTGCGCCCCCAACAGCCTCATCCCTCCTCTGGCACCCAGGCACGGTGCCCATGGGCTCCCTTGGGCGGAGGGGCTGTTTTTGGAGAAGGAACGAGGATTTGCCACATCTGACCCGGGAGCTCACGGGTAGAACAGCAGTGACTCTTCTGAACGCATGCATACGTATGTTCTTTCTTAATCCCATATTTAAGCTTTGTGCTCAGTTTCCAGCAGAAGTTCAGCTCTGGGAAAAAAAAAAACCCAAACTGTTTTTTTAAAAGCTGAATAGCTTTTTAATATAGCTTATAGTTATAGTTAATAATTTTCAATGAGCTCTTTCAGAACTTGTATAGAAAATTTGGAGACTTATTCTTAAATATTGTAATTAGCTGTAATTTAATCTACCCCCTAAGCAAACGCCTCTAAACACATCTCTCATTCCTCTCATTTCCCACAATTTTTCTTATCCTGGTCATGTGCCAGGATCAGGTAGGGAGCAACCTCTGAGCAGGGCCATTACTTGTGGGCCCCTTTGCAGCATGCAGCTATTTACATCATGCTTTACTGCAACTTTTGATGCTGCTACAAATCATTATATTCTTAATTTTAATGTTCCCCTTAGTACTCTCCTATGTCTCTTGCAGCACAGATTCCCTCCACTGTGTTCTCCCATTTGTCTATGTTGGATCCCACACCTGAGGCAGAATATGGAAAACCTCAGGAGAGGAGCAATAGCAGGAGGGACTGACCCCAGGGCTGCTCTGAGGCTGCGCGAGGGGTTTGCGGCAGCTGGGAGTTGGGATTAGCAGAGTCAGGGCTTGGGTACTGCGAGTTAGTGGAAGAAAGGGGGTTGTGATAAAGCATTTGTGTGGGATTTCATGCAGGAGTTGGAGAAAAAGGCAAATACCCATTCACAGGATAAAATTGTTGTAGGTGGATGTAGCCAAAAATGCGTAAGGTGGGTGCAATGAAGGAAGTTCCTATTTAGCTGAAAATAAGGGCACAGATTGCTCCAAGCGGCAGAAGAGATGGGCCAAATAACAAATAGGGGCTGAGTTTTGTTTCAGTGGACAAATGAAGGCGATGACGTATGGGTAAATCTGGTGTTTTCAGACTTGCATCAGAATGACCAGCCTCTCTTACAGCCGATGAAGGTGTCCTCGCCATGACCTGGAGTGTGTCTGGTGCAGCGGGAGAAGGATCGCCTGGCCAAGGACTGCAGAAACCAGCAGAGAGACTTAAAGCTGCCCTACCTTGCTCTGTCTCGACGTTTTATGGTTGTTAGGCCAAGACTGGTATGACTGAGGGAGTTGTGAAAACATGGAGTACTTTTAAATATGCCTGTATTTGAGAATCTATGGAAAACTGCAATTTATATATAACATGCAATCTCTAAATATTTGCATTTTATTCTGTAGCTGTACAGAAAATGGTGAAAGCAGGATCAAGCCGCAGAGAGTCTTTGTTTTGTTAGCAAGAGGCGTTTTTAACAGGCTTCATTTTCACTACATAAGCCAATCTGTGATCTTTCTTATGCATCTATTTTCCCTTGATCTTGCTGCGTGAGTGACAGCTACTTTACACTAGCATTATCTGTCAAAATATTATTTAACTGGAACACCTTCTAGAATAAGTTTTTGTTATTATTAGAAATAAAAATGCAGTGATAATTGAATCCCTTTATATTCCCTGTGTAATGCAAGGAGTAAGACATATTCGCACCTAAGGGGAAAACACATCTGGATTTCCTCTTTGCCCCAAGACCGTGTGCTCTCCCTTACACTGTAACAGCTTTGATTCACTATACCTTAGAGGGAGATGAAATTTGCAGTGTATGCATATCATCTAAGAAAAACAATAGCATACATACATTTTTTTGCTATAGGAATTGCATTAAATAAATATATAGCAAGCTGCAGTGTCACAACAAGTAGATGTACAATTACGAAGACAAAATACCCCAAGGAAATCAACACAAGGCTTATTAATATCCAGGCCTGCAGAAGACAACTGTCAGACAATTGGTCAACAAGGTACATGGTATCTGTTAGATACTGACTAACCCATTATGATCTTTATGAAGTGTCCTTTTGGGGGTCTAGATCTTCAAATATGAGTTGGAAGACCCTTTTCTTTTATTAGTTGCTAAGCTCTTTATACTTTTACCATATTGCGGCAGGTTAGAAGTCTGAGCTTTATTGTCTTATGTTATTGAAAATCCAGATTCCCGCAGCCTTCTCCCTCAGGTCAAGATTTGTCTGAGAATACATTCTCATTTCTCCATGTACAAAGGCTGTCTGGAGAGAGGCAGAAAAAGATTATGACTGTAATATACTTAAATCCAATTTATTTGCTTGACTAGAAACTTCCACACTTCACAATTGCTTCCTACAGCAGATTTTGTATTTAATTCCTTCATCGCAGTAAGAAGCA